GAGCCAGCCAAAGGGAGTGCATCATTCAAGGTAAGGGAATGAGAGTTTGACCCAGTGATCCCACTTCTGGGAATATATCCTAAGAAACTCAAAACACTAATCAGAAAGACTATATGCACCCCTGTGCTCATAGCAGCACAATTACAATAGCTAAGACCTGGAAACAGCCCAAATGCCCATCAGCAGGTGAGTGGATAAAAAAGCTGTGGCACTGCCGAAACTGGTTTGGCTCAGTGGATAGAGCATCAGCCTGTGGACTGAAGGGTCCCAGGTTCGATTCCGGTCAGGGGCATGTAGCTTGGTTGCGGGCACATCCCCAGTAGGGGGTCTCTCTCATTGATGTTTCTAACTCTCTGAACCTCTCTTCTGCTCTGTAAAAAATCAATAAAATATATTAAATTAAAAAAAGCTGTGGCACATTTATGCCATGGAATACTACGCAGCAGTAAAAAAGAATCTCTTACCCTCTGAGACAGCATGGAGGGATCTGGAGAATATCATGTAAGTAAAGTCATTCAGAGAAAGACAAATATCACATGATCTCACTCATGTGGAATCTGATGAATAAAATAAACTGATGGAACGGATTCAGAGACATGGAAGCATGGCACAGAGTGTGGAATCTCAGAGGGAAGATGGGGGAGAGTGGGTGGGTGGAGGTAATCAACCAAAGACCTTGTATGCATGTATGCATAAGCCATGGACACAGACAATAGGCTGTGAAAGCCTCTGGTGGAGGGCGGGGCTGGCCAATGGGGGTTAAAAGGGGGACACATGAAATGCTTCCAACAAAGATTTAAAAAAACCAGCCCTAGCCGGTTTGGCTCAGTGGACAGTGTCAGGCCTGACCATTCTGGCCAAGGGCACATGTCCGCATTGTGGGCTAGACCCCCAGTAGGGGGCATGCAGGAGGCAGCCAATCATTGATTCTCTTATCACTGATATTTCTCTCTCCCCCTCTCTGAAATCAATAAAAATATATTTTTTAAAAGTTTAAAAACAAATCAAGTAAGGGGATGGCAGGTAGGAGGATAAGAGAAGCGGATGGAGTTGGAGATAAGGGGCAGGCCTTTGAAATTCATGTATCAGAAGCCCAAGTTCCAGTTTTAAACACACACCGGCTCAGAGAGCCAGCTCACACCACCACGGGTAAAGCATGAACTTTCCTCTCCCCATCTCCCCTGTGTCCTCGCAACAGGGACAAACGAGACAATAGTACAAGGTGGGGAAACAAGGTCAAGGCCAAGCACCTGCTGCCTCTCTCCCAGCTCCCACTGCAGAGGCAAGGCTGGCAGCAGGCCCTGCTGGGGAAGGGGCAGCCTCTCTCTAAATGCAGTTCAAAGGCTTTGTTGCTACACAGGAATGGACACCTCATCTAAGGGAGGGCCTTCAGTATCAAAGTGATGGGTGAAGCCTGGGACTTCCCTACATTCCAAAAATTTTCTAGTTCTTTACTAGAACCTGAAAGATAGTTTAGGATTCTCAATGGAAGTGTACAAAAGCAGCCTGGCTGGTGTGGCTCAGTGGTTGAACATCGCCTATGAACCAGGAGATCAGGTCTGATTCCTGGTCAGGGCGCATGTCCAGGTTGTAGGCTTCATTCTCAGAGTGGGATGTGCTGGAGCCAGCCAATCAACAATTCTCATTATTGTTTTTATCTTCCTCACCTTCTCTAAAAATCAATTATATATATGTATGTATAAAAGTAGTTGATCTGAGAGTCAAACATGTGAAAGGGGAGGAAGCCTAGTGTTTTAAACATAGGTTTTTGGTTTTGTTTTTGGGAAAAGGTGATACCAGCTCACAGAGGAACATCAGCATTTCAGCCAGCAGTGGTGAGTGCTGAGCTGGAGGGGAGGTGAATGATGAATGGCAGAGGCAGCCACGTCCCTGAATTGCAGGACCCACCCAAGAGCTGTACCTGGGAGGGTGAAGTTCATGCCGATGGGAACCGGAGCAGGTATGCATATGGGCTGGGAAGCAACAGAACTTTCTAGAGTAATAGGATCTTGAAAGGGGTGGAGGTAGGTTGACAGGCATTCAAATTTGTCACTTAAGTGGTATATTTAGGATTTGTGAATTTCACTATATGCAAATCTTACTTATCTACCTTTCAAAAAAAGGTAAACTAGCTAACGATATGGACATTAAAGTGTTTTAAGAGTATGTATTAATCTGTAACTGTCCTTTGAAAATGCCAAGTAAAGAAGGGGGAGGGATGGGTGTCGGAATGTACAGTTATGTGATAGACATGGCAGGAAATTAACTGGAGAATATATAATTATATTCTGTGTTTGAAATATTTCGTAATCCTGGGAGCAGGCATACCCTTTTATAGTCAAATGTACTTCGGAAACCCAGAAGCCATGCCCAGGATAATGGTCAGTTTATGACGTTAGTAGATACTGTATTCCTGTACATGTTCTACTTTTAAAAATACTTATATTTTTATTTATTTTAGAGAGGAGGAGGAGAGAGGAGAGAGAGAAACATCAATAAGAATCACTGATGGGCTGCCTCCTGCATGCCCCGCTACTGGGGATCAAGCCCAAACTTGGGCATGTGCCCTTGACCGGAATCTAAACCAGGACCCCTCAGGCCGCAGGCCGAGGCTCTATCCCACTGAGCCAGACCGGCTAGGGCCACATTCGAATCTTCAGTACAGAAACACTTGGGTTGCTGCAAGTGTTGTATCATTACTTGGACTTTTTAAAACATGCATTTTTACATCTTAAGGTGAATCCAGGAGTCCTACACGCTGCATGACAACGGAAAAGCCTCCGGGGCCTCCTGTGTGTGAAATCCCCTCCCCAGGGACTGGGAGGCGGAGCGTCTTTATGGTCCTGCGCCACCCGTTTTCCCCCCAGACAGACTGAGCCTAAACTTTTCCCAGGGCCTCCGGGGAGTTTTAGGGTGGGGAACTTTAAGGCAAACAAGAGGGAGGGCCTACTAGCAAGGGAGCGAGAGAGCCAGGTCCCCAATCCTTGCTCAGGAGCCAGACCACCTCCTTCCCAAGGGACAGAAGCCTCCCCTCCTCCAGAGACCTGACCTCCTCACCCACCATCAGACCTTCCCTCATGACTCTTCCAGGAGAAACTCAAGTCCCGAGGACTGGGAACCTGACGTGGATCCTAACCACCCACAGCCTCTGACAACAAAGAGAAGACACTGGTTGCCATACCTCACTTTTAAAACGGAATCTGGTCATTACAGATCCAGGGCCAATTCGCTCCCGTCCTGCTCCCCCCTCTGCAGGGCTGCGTCCAGTCCGCAGGGGCAGGGCACACACGCAGGCGCTTCCTAGGGAATGTTCTGCTTGAAGATTTGGGGGAAATTACTTAAAAGGTTTATTTCTATATTAAGACAAACATGGATATCTTATGGAATGGAAAACTCTTATGATCATTCATTAAAATAGGAGATTTGAAGAAATTCGCAGGGCCCTTATAAACTACATCCCTAGCCGAAACCGGTTTGGCTCAATGGATAGAGCGTCGGCTTGGGGACTGAACGGTCCTGGATTTGATTCCGGTCAAGGGCATGTACCTTGGTTGCGGGCACATCCCCAGTAGGGGGTGTGCAAGAGGCAGCTGATAGATGACTCTCATCGATGTTTCTAACTCTCTATCTCCCTTCCTCTCTGTACAAAATCAATAAAATTTATTTTTTTTTTTTTAAATAAACTACATCCCTATGTTCCAAGGGTACATGCTTTACTTCCCTGATACTGTTTCTGAAAACTTCACTGAAAATTTAGGAAGTATTTTGTCAGATGGAAGAACTCACACCATAGATGAGGTTACTTATGGGGAAAGAGAAGACAAGGGGGATTTCCAGGTTCGCACTAAAGTTTTAAATCTTTTCCCTCTGAAACAAGAAACAAGACAAAAAGAAAGACCTGATACAAATTAAATCCGTGGTTAAAATACCAGAGTGCTGCTTGGAGTCACCGGGCAGCACCCTCTGGCCCCCCGCGCATGAGCCGGGGAAGTGGCATTCACCCAGGACGAGCCCATCAGGGGAACGGACCACCCAGAATTTCTTGGGAAGGCGGTTCAGAAGAACAGACCTTTCGGAGTCAAATACCTGTGCTCCCTATCTGTGAGACCCTGGCCAAGGCATTCTCTAGACCCCAATTTCCTCGTTTTTAAGATGGCTTTGAGATCCTGTCTGTGGGGTACTGTGAGGAAATGGTATATAACACACTAGGTATATTCTGGGCACGCGACACATATTACTTCTTTCCTTTCCCCAAGGCAGTATCACAGGAAAAAAATCTTTCAAAACAACCGTGGGTGGGAGCCTGCCCGGAGTGGCTTATTTGGGTTGTGGGTTTGATCCCATCAGGGAGCATCTGTAAGGCAACCAATCGAACACGACATTTATTTCTCCTTCTCTCCCCCATCCTTTCCCTAAGTATGCCCTTGGGTAAGGATTAAACAAACAAACCCCAAAGACAATGGTGGGAGTGATAAATGATCAAAGGGGTGGCTAGGGACCCAGAAACGAGGGCACCAATTATAAACCAGGTTCAGCTCAGCAAGTATGGCCACAGGTGCAATAAGGGGCTGGGCCCGGCACAGGGCCCACTCAGCCCTCGGACCACAGGACGGCACAGGAAGAGGCAGGCCTCTCCACCTGGTGTTTAAAGAAACACAACCGGGCGCGCGTGAGCTGTTTTTAGTTAAAGAAAAGCAGCCTTTTCCACGGGCAGCAAAGTGAACTGAACGCCAGGAGGAAGCAGGGTGTGGGCCTCTCACAGGCTCTTGCTTTCGGAGAGTGAGGAGAGGCCTCCGGGAGTCAGGGGGCCCGGCCAGCAGGGGACGCCGGGGGGGGGGGGGGGGGGGGGCGGCGGGCGCTGCAGCCACAGGGTCACGGGGTTGGTTGGTCCGCAGGGGCTCGAAGGTGGTTTCCACCTGCCAGTTGGTTGACATGATTAACACTCTGATTCTTGGGGACATTAAATTAAGGAATGATGCGTGGAGCTGAGAGAGAGTGGCTTATTCAGTTGGATTCTGAATCACAATCAGGAAGTAGTCTTTATCTACAAAAAAGAAAAAAGAAAACACAAATTACTTAATGTTAAATGTGAGGGGAAAAAACACCAGGAAGGAAATGGGTGACTAAGCCACCGGCCACAGAAGGCAGTGGGTGAACACACGTCCAGGTGCGGGGCAGCCGCAAGTGAGCTGAGGGCAGGTTTCCTGTGGGGGCTCTGGCAGGAGGCCCTGCAGTGACTCTGAGCGCATGCTCTTCTCTAACCTCCCGGGGCCCACGGGGAGGGAGGATACCAGCTCTGTTTTGTGGGTGAGGAAACTCAGGTTCGGAGAGTTTGAGTGAATTGCCAGTGGTTCTCAAAATGGAGGGCACCTGAGTGACCTGAGGGCTGGTCAAACAGACACTGCCAAGCCCTACCCCACGCTCTTTGGATTCAGTCAGTCTGAGGTAGAGCCCAACAATCTCCTTTTTTTTTTTTTTTTTTAAGTTAATCCCCACACGAGGGAATTTTTTCCACTGATTTTCTGAAAGAGTGAAGGGAGCAGGAGGGGGAAGAGGAAAAGAGAGAGAAACAGTCATATGAGAGAGACACATGGATTGGTTGCCTCCTGCATGCAACTTAACTGGGGCCGAGAATCAAACCTGCAACCCAGGTCCATGCCTATTACAGGAAACCAAACCCATGACCCTTTGGTGCCCGGGCCAATGCTCTAACCACTGCCGCCTGGGTGAGAACCCGTATTTTTAATGAATTCCTAGGTGACACTGGAGCTGCAGGTTCTGGGAGAACCACTAGTTTAAGGTCACCCAGCAAATCAGGGTCAAAGAGAGATGCCAACCCCAACCCCACTTCTCTGGGGTGGATGTGAGTCTGTCACAGGCTGAGGACGTTTCAAAGGCACCGGTCAGAGGGGGCCAAAGCTCTGCGGGTCCCCCCCCCCCGTAATGAGGAATGTTCATCATGGAATCACTGCAAGTTCAAGACCTCAGGGCTGAGTCTGACGGCTCCTCGTTTTATAGAAGAAATTGGAGAGGCAGTGTTTCAACTTTGCCCTTAATTATCTCCCATGTGGCCAGTCCTGGCCAACCACTTCTTATACTGGCATCTCAATGAATCCTCACTCACTCTATGAGGCAGGAACTAGTGCTTTCTCATTTTATGCTGCGGCTCAAGCCAAGGCAAAAATGTGAGGTGTGACGGTTGGGTCTGACCGCCCTGCTGAACAGAAGCGAAATGGCCGGACCTCGGACCCACCTGCTTTGTGTCTGCTGGTGTAAGCCTAAAGCTCCTGATTCCCAGGGTGGCTAGCTGATGGGACTGGGAAGAACCAGATTTTTATATGACTAATAGTTTCATGACTAAGCAATCTATTTAAGTAAATAACCACTTACTAATAAAAACAATGAAAGCCATCGATAAAAGCAGACATAATTAGCAATACTACTGTCCTTTCTTCCAAAAAAAAAAAAAAAAAAGCTCTAATTCAATAATATCACTCCAAGTGCTTTTTGGAAAGCAGAGTTTTAAAGTTTGATTATGCTGTCAACTCAGCTTTACATCAGGAAGGTTAACAAGTGGAAACCAAGTCTGTCTGAAAACATCTCTTCATGTGGGCTATTCTGGGCCAGGTCGGGTGAAATTTGGTACGAATGTGGAGATCCACACTGTCTCACACCACCTGCTGCTACTTTTGGTCTCAGTTTGGTCAATGAGGAAGCTTAGGTGGGAGGGAAGGGACATGAACCTCCTTCCTGGGCAGGGCTGCTCCCACAAGATGGGTGCTAATTACAGACCAGGAAGGACCCGCATCGAAAGCGCACAGCAGCCAGGCTGTTCTGTGCTGGGCGCTGCCCCCATGGGGCCTGTGCTCTATGGCCATCCGAAGGTGATCCAGCCCTAATGCCTCAGAGGCTCTGCTCAGTGGCTCCTGGCCGTATTTTTTTCTCGCCCTAGCAAAGTGGTTGTATCAATATGTCAAATCACAGGTTTTCATCCTAAATAGCATGTCCCTCGGACATCTCTGATCCCCATCTCCACTGCTGACCCCACCTCCAACCCCACAGTGGGATGTAGCCATGGAGGGAAATTTAGGAAGTCTTTCATTTATTTATTCAACAAATATTTGTCAAATGTCTTCACAAGTTTCTGTACTCTGGAAACTGTCTAGTGGAGACAGAATTAAAAATGCAGATATGGAGGCTGGTTAGCCAAGTGGAAAGGTAGGACGGCAGTGTGGCCAGCAGCAGGACGGCTTGTGTGAGGGCCCAGGGAGAGGCTCTGAAGGCAGCAGGGTGGCTGGAGAAGTGGTCACTTCTTAAATACTCACTGTATTTAAGGCAACCGGGAAAAGTCACTCATCTGGCCAGTATAACAAGATGTGTGTGTGGGCCCATGAGGATGTGAGCGCTAGACAGACAGCGAGTGAGCAAGTGAGAGCATGCATACCCTCCCTGCAGGCTCCTAATGTCACGGGGGCCACTTCCTCCTGGCCTCCACTGACAAGGCTGAGGGCATGTGGGGCCTGTGCCCCAAGGAGCAGCTCTGATGGACTCCAGCACTAACTGCACCCCTGTGCTCTCCAAGTCCGGGCCCCTCAAGGGCAGGTTGTAGCTGCCTTCGCTGCTGAGATGGGGAGAGTGGCTCGGAGCTCTCGGATAACTCTGCTCCAGAGGAGCCGTTCTTGGGAGCTTTATGTCCATGGGGCCTGGCTGATTTAGAGAGCGCGTCATTTGTCCTTGCCTCACGCCGAGAGTCCCATGTATACTGCTCAATGTGCAGGATCAGTACGGGACCATTCCCAGCCTAGTTTTCAGGGAAGTAGAGGTATCTATAGTCGCACAGCATGAACCCTGGGAGGGATTCCATCTACTTCAGAGCCTTTCTGTCCACCCCCCGCCAACATACTCAACCAGCTGGGGTGTCTCAGAGGACCAGAGCAGCACAGCCCCCTAAGAGACACTTTACCGATGTGAAAACAGAGGTTCAGAATGTTCTCTGACTTGTCTAAGGTCACAATCTAAAGTTGGGAAAATGAACTCTTGCCTGCTACAATCGGTTTGTTTTCTCTGACAGAATCAGAGACACCATCGGACAGTGATTGAACTGATAAACAGTGTACAGCATGTTATCCTATTTTCCTTTCTGGGGTGGACCTACTCTGTCCCCACCCCTTCAGGAAGTGTCCCAGCGGGATTGTGGCTCCTGTGACTGGCTCTCTGGTTCCCTCCTTCACATACTTCCAAGATGCCAGACTGGGCTGGAACAGGCCTAGGATCAGAACCAATATGGCTTTGCTGCTGGGAGTGGGTGACACTCTCTAATCACCCCAGAATTCTATAGCCACTCTCTTTGCCATCTGCCTGCCGAACCAGGGGTGTCCAGTGTTCCTAGCCTCCACAGCCTTCTCCATGCAGGTCCCAGTCACAGTCATATCGCCTCCTGCTCACAGGGCCAAGCTTTGCATTTGAGGCCTTTTTAAAATTGGATCAAACGTCTCACCTCCCATTCCTCCAGACATATATTCTGGTGTCCTAGACAAACTGCCCGCAGACCACCTGCCTCATCAGGTGCACAATTAGCTCATGCACACAGCTATGTGGCTCAGCCAGAAAACAGAGGGAGAGCAAGAAGGAGCAATGCAAAAATAGTCCTGGCCCTAATCAGTCTGGCTCAGTGGTTAGAGTGTCGGCCCACAGACTGAAGGAATGGGGGTTCTATTTCAGTGAAGGGCACGTGCCTCAGTTGCAGGCTCAATCCCTGGTGCAGGTCAAAGGGCATGTGAGGGGCATGTAGCTCTCATATTGATGTTTCTGTCTCTCCCCTTTCCTTCTGCTCTCTCTAAAAATCAATGGAAAGAGTAGCTTCAGGAGAGGATTAACCACAACGAAAAGTCCTGGAGAACCTGTCCACCACTCCCGTCTGAATGCTGAGTGAGGTGAGGCAGGACAGGTGACCCTGCTCTTCCCTCCTGCAGTCCCAGGCCCGTGGGATCCGCCCAGGATGAGCATCTCATCACCCTGAGAATGATCCTATGATGTTTGCACCACACAATCCCCAAATGCAAGCCAAGCACTTCATGTGGAACAAAAACAGCGATTGGTTCCAATGTTGGAGGAAAAGCTGGCTGTATGAGGCCCAGAGAGACAGGACTATCCTTTAGAAGTGGATAAGTGAACATTTTTTCAAAAATAAAAGACTATACAGTATGTTTGCCTTCTGCTTTGGAATGCTTATGTGTCTTTTTCTTTCAAGCCTAGGTTTCTTGCCCATCCACTTGGCTTATACTTTTCTATACCCTCAAGAGTCAGCTGAATGTCCCCTCTTCTGGGAAGTCCCTGCTGACTGTGCCAAGCAGCTAGTCACACCCTTCTGTTCCCAAGCGCTCGAATGTCCCGTCAAGACGAGGGTTACACTGTGTCATGCTTATGTGTCTATCTGCCCCAGGAGCCCAGGGCTCCCCTCCTAGGCACAGAATCAGGAGAAGGTCTGACCCACAGTCACTGCAAATGAGTATTTGTCGGGGATGCCGGCCAGAGAATGGACAGGCAGCGAGGCAACCAACTGTGTACCTTCAACTCCTCAGGCTTTTCTGTGGAGCCTGAGGAGACACCAATGTGCTAAGCCTTCCTGATGAGCAGTAGTGATAGTCTGATCCTAAGAGGGGACACGGGAGACCTCTTACCTGGTGCAACCATAATTTCATTTTTCTTAGAGCGAATCCGAAGGAAAGTCAGGTCATTCTGGGGGTCAATTTCACGCACGGTGCTCCGGGCCTTCAAGATGAAGTTGTGCATGAGGTTGGCGTACTGTGTGGTGGTGGGGTTGTCCATGGTGCTCTTAATGGGAATGCCTGTGTGAAGGGCAGACAGAGACTGAGCAGGACTTTGAGGCCTTTCTGTCCAGTTCCCAACCCCACACCCCTAGTTCTAGCGTCCTGGACTGGCAGCTAACAATCAATGCCACTGTTACTGAAAGCTTGGCAGGCACAGTGCTGAGCACTTCCCTCAAAGTCCCCAGAACCACTCTGGGGATGCTGTCAGCATCTTCACTTGCCAATGAGGCAAAAGAAACTCTGAGCAGTAGGTGACCTGCTATGGTCGCACAGCAGAGAAGCAGGGGCCAGGCCTGCTGGCTCCACTGCTGGGCTCCACTGTCCTAACTAGTGTCTGGCAATAAGGAGACCCTCATTCAGAGCACTTAGAACCTGAACAAGGAGGACAGCACTTACATAACTTAAAACACAAATGAGTAGGAAAAGGTCAGCTTCTGCCAAGACATAACCAGCAGCAGTGTGTTGTTCCTATGCCAAGGGGGGCTTAGTGCACACACTGCCTGTACATGTGAAAATTAAAGCCCATTTCTCTGTCCGCTTACACCTTGTAAGTAGCACTGTTACTGCTTTCAAAGAGACCACAAAATGGTCATTTCTCTGAATTCAGCATGCCTCTACTAAGACTGGGTTTTTACTTAATTACTGTTCAATGAACACCATTGTCCTTGCAGCCTTTTCTGTTTTAAAGACTGTTTCCTTGTGGATCTCCCTCATAGGCAGTGCCCATTTTCATGGAGGTGCGGAATGGCCTCAGCTTGAGTGACCTCAGGCCATGACTGGGTCCTCAGGTGCCTATGAATCACTGACATGCCCACAGAAAGCTCCGTCCCTGAGGCTCCAGGTGCACACAGCTGGCAGATACATGGAGGATTATGGCACAAGTGGCTTCTCACATGTAAGTGGCTGGATTTGGGACCCAGGCCCTGCTAGTCCATAACAGTCTAAAGATCAGCCAAAGGCAGTCACCCTCAGGCCTCTCCATGAGTGGCAGACCTGGCCCAGCCTCATCTTCTCAGGGTCAGGAGCACAAGGGTAGGCAGAAGATGACACAGTGACAGAGAAGCCGCTGAGTCAGTGAGGCTGTTTGAGCCAAGTGAAGTCATGAGAACAAGTTGTAGTGATCATTTTCCTTTAAGAGACAAAACAACTAGGTTATCAAGGGTGCTGTTGGGTCCTAGGTGGCAACCAGGTGCCCACCAGGGCCTTGCTTGATTCTGGACTTTTCTAAGAATCACAGTATGAGCAACTGGGGTGATGACTGAGTAGGAACTCTCAAATCTGATGACCTGAACTTATACACTGCTTTGTCTCTTTATAGCAATGTGGCCTTAAACAAGTGATTTATTCTATTCTATTTTCGCATTCGTAAAATGCCTGTGCTTCAGAGTGCTGCTGTGGGTATTAAATATGGTTTAAGAATGTTTTGCAAGGGCACCTTCTCTCAGGTTCCTCTGCTTGGAACTTTCCTTTCTTCGCCTGTTCTCCCACAATTCCCACTGGCCCCTCAAGTCTCCACCTCCTGGTGGCTTCACCCACCCCACATACGGTCAATGCCCCATTCCGCCATCCCAGGACCACACAATTTTCCTTCGCAGCAGTTAGTTGAGTTTGACATCACACCTTTATGGAAGTGATCAATATGTTCATCCCTAGTCAGGACCAGGTCTGATTTGTTCGTTAGTGTGCTTAGAAACACTGCATGAAGAATTTATTGTTGCTGCCAAAACCGGTTTGGCTCAGTGGATAGAGCGTCGGTCTGCGGACTGAAGGATCTCAGGTTCGATTCCGGTCAAGGTCATGTACATTGGTTGCGGGCATATCCCCGGTAGGAGGTGTGCAGGAGGCAGCTGGTCGATGTTTCTCTCTCATCGACATTTCTAGCTCTCTATCCCTCTCCCTTCCTCTCTCTGGAAAATCAATAAAATATATTAAAAAAAAAAAAAAAAGAATTTATTGTTGCTGAAAAATGAGAAGTCACAGGGCTACTTTCAGGAATTTAGACATGCATTTGACTACATTCCTACCAAGTGAGAGGATGTGTAAAGGAGACACAGATCTAACCACTTGTTGGCTCATTTTAAAATCTAAGAAAACGTGAAGGTGTGGCAGTGGGGGAGAACCGGGGAGAATTTCAAGTAAGGGAATCAGATCATAGAATGCCAGACTCTTAGGATGCCAGAGCTGGGGCTACTTCAAAGATATCTCAATGATCAGGCCGCCTACCCCAAGCCACTGCCTTCACAGAGACTGTGCAGCCTGCAGAGACTGTGCAGGCTGGTGCCAGGGAGGCCCAACTCTAACCTCAGGCTCAGATCTGTCAGGTTGCATAGACCTAACCCAGCTCCATCCATCAACACCTACACCGACAAAGCTTAACACAGGTATTAGCCACAAGCTCAGGTGCTGAAGACACAGTAAGTGAACAAGAGACAAACCCTGACCTCGTGGAGCTTGTACATTCAGTGGTTTATTCTGCCTGTGTAGGTAGCAGCAGAGGACAGCAGGGGATCTGGAGGTAGAAATGGAACAGAATGTTCCTGAAGTTCTTGCAAAGTCTGCCTAACCTCACACTTTTATAATGAAATATGTTTGTATTTGCTCAACATAGAGATGTCAAAAAGCAGTGGTGGGCGGTTGGGAAGTGACTGAAACAGGGTGCGTCATGAGTTCAGGGGCGAGAACAGTCTTTCTGGGCTGGGGTCAGGGAAGGCAGCCCATGGGAAAGGCAGCTGAACTGAACCATCCTTAGCTGGAGCTTCCAAAGGACTTAAAGGCCCATGAGCAGAGAGTTCTGGGCACCCCAACCACAGCGGGGTGACCTTGGGCAGGTCACCTCGCCTCTCTCAGCTTCAGGTCTTTTTCCCCTTTAATCCTCACCCGAGGATATTTTCCCTTTGGTTTTTTTTTTTGTTTTTGTTTTTGTTTTTTTAAAGAAAGAGTGAAGTGGAGGAGAGGGGGAGAAGAGAGAGAAATATCGATGTGAGAAAGGCATGGATTGGTTGCCTCCCAATTGGTCCATGGGCCCCGACACTCTAATCACCGAGCCAAACCAGCTAGAGCTGCTTCAGTTTTCTCATCTGAAAAATGGGCAAACACCCAACTTGTGGGGGTCACTGTGTGAAATGTAAATTGAGAGTTTGAAGAGCGAGTTCTATGAATGGGACATAAAAAGAAACACACAGAATGATTTTAACATTTATATGGCACTTATTATATATCAGACACTATTCTAAGGAAGTAGTATGATTATATAATATTTTACTGAAAGAGAGAGGTTAAGTGACTTGTTCAAGATTTCCAGATAAGTAGGCAGAGTCAGGATTTACATGCAGGTTGTCTGGTTTTCCGTTCCATATTCTTAACCACTGTGCCATATTGTCACATTAGTACACAAAAAAGTGCTCATAAGTATCAAAAGGTAAGCAGCTGGTGCTACACTTCCCTAATGAAAAAGCTCAACTTTTGGGCAGTTTTAAGGCAAGAATGCAGGCTTATGGTTTGCAAATATCAGTGAAGGCCTAGGGAGACCCAGCTGAGGAGTCATCTTCTGAGGCTCTTCCCTCCCATTTGGGGTCAAAATGTCCAGGCCCAGTGCTGGCCAGTGTGGCTCAGATGGCTGGAGTGTTGTCCTGTACACGGAGAGGATGTGGGTTCGATTCCCAATCAGGGCACATACCCTGATTGCGGATTAAATCCCCAGCTGAGCACATGCAGGAGACAATGTCTGATGTTTCGCTCTCACATCAAGGTGTGTGTGTGTGTGTCCCCCTTCCTCTCCTTTTCTCTCTCTCTAAAATCAACGAAAGCATGTCCCTGAGAGGAGATTAAAAAAAAAAAAAAAAAAAGTCCAGTCACAATAGACAAAAGACAGTATCTCTCTGAGGGATATACCAACAGCCTTTCAGGTCTCAGACCAACCACTCCGTGCGGGGAGGGGAGGTCTGAAGAGAAGGGGAAGCCGGGCCGCCAGCAGATCAGCAGCACATCTAACCTGGGACCTGCTTCGGCCTCCCACGGTCTGGAGGGTCCTAACCTGCTCCTCCTCTGACCGCAATGACCACGTGGTCTAATTAGGACCTGACAAAGCTGGGAGCATCCTGTCTGACTCTGGGCTGGCCACGGTCTAGTGACTTGGAAAACAACATTCTAACTGAGGACACGCCACCTCCACTCTGTCACCTGCATTCTGCTCTCCTGAAGCAGGCACTGTTGAGAATTCTGCCTTTCCAAAGCAAGGCCCAGCATGACAGTGCAAACACACGGGGGCCCTTTAGGAATAAATCAGAGATGAAAGAATACACTGAACTACAGAACTGAGGGAGGCCAGCGGGGTGGCTCTGAGCTGGAGACCTACAGCCACTCCCTGGTCCTGCACAGGAATGAGAGGAAGAGCACAACTGCATTCAGACAGACTTGGGATGAAATCTTGGCTCTGCAATGGCAGGCAAATCAACTGAATTTCTAGACTCAGTTTTCTCCATTGCAAAATGGAGGCAAAAGGGCTGTTTTAAGGGAGAAATAAAACAGAATGTTTGTAAAGCACCACATGTAAGTGTGAGAAATATTAGTCTCCCTCTTTGCCAGGTCTATAGCAGTTTGAGAAAATCAGTGATCTGTACTCTTCTAGTTGTGGAAACAATGATTCAGAACAGAAGGGAAAAGCTACAGGCACAAAGAAGTTGACCAAGAGTACTATCTAGCCAAAAACATGAGTTTTATCTAGAAACAACATAAGTGAATAATTAATAAACACTGTCCAGTGTGGCTCAATGGTTGAGGTGGCCAGTTTGATCCCCAGTTGGAGGCATGCAGGAAGCAACCCATCCATGTTTCTCTCTCATTGATGTTTCCATCTCTTTTTCTCTCTCTCTCTCTCTCTCTTAAGTAAAATATGTATTTTAAAAAAATTGTACTGGCAGTTAAAAAAAACTATGTAAAACATGAAGCAAAACACATAAACCTCATGAGTAAACATATGCAAAGGAGGAATAACTATAATTATGACCGAGAGAAAATGCACCTGAGCGAGGGTTGAAAAAAACATGGGATACTGAAAAATATGACCCATCAGGGCGTGGGACTGAGTGAATTTTTCCTTTTTTAAAATTTAGAATTTCAATAATAGTGCTAGGACACTTGAGGTGTTAAAAAAAAAAAAGGTGAAAATTCATGTACATGAAGGGCTTGGTAAACAGCAAGTGGGCTATGCTGTGCCTGGGCTGTTTTCTGGGCCTGCCTGCGCATGGTCGGAGCAGGGTTACCTTCTGTGTTCACCACGATGATTCCCTGCACTCCCTTCTGGCTCTGAAGTCGCTTCAGTGTCTCCTCCACCTCTGCCTGCCAGATAGAACAAGATCAAGGTTAGGAAGGGCCAGGAAGGCTGGGTTAATTCATTCATACCCTTGACAGCTGAGTCACACATTCGTCTTCCAAAAACAAACAAGTAACACCTGGGCACGTGGCACTTCCTCAAAGCTCCCAGGTCTGTTTAGAGCAGTCCCCAAGCCACTACCAGTGCCTAAATCACCTACTCACACCCCCAGGATGGGGCAAGGCTCCTCTTGGCCCTTTGCCGACCAGGCACCATCCTCCCTCCTGCCTCAGCTATTTGGGAGCAGAATATAAACACCATTCCTAAGAGCACAGACACATCCGTGACTCATGGATCTGCTATCCCTGGGAGACAGGACGCTGATGATCTGAGAAAACCCAAACAGTGGTGTCTAATAGGAAGGAGATACCTGCTATTTGTAGCCCAAACAGCACAACTGAAAACATTCCAAGGAAACAAAATGACTCCATGAGGATAGACTCAGTGACTTAAAAACCCAGCATCTGAGACAATGTGATGCCTGGCTCAGAGCCACAGGAATGTGCCTGGGCAGGGGTTCTTTAATCCTGATTCTCCAGAAACTAGTCAGGGGGATATTCTGGCACACGGAATTTATTAACAGAGGGACAATCAGACATTTGGCTCCTCACCCTGCCATGCAAGGTATTCTCTATTATTATTCACATCTTTTAGCTTTTCCTCCACTCTCCACCTACATGGCATACCTCCTGTGTCCATGTCTTTTTACCCTAACAAGGCCTCTTCTCTGCTGAAATCTGACAAATTCTTCTAGACCACCTAAACCCATGGTCGGCAAACTGCGGCTCACGAGCCACATGCGGCTCTTTGGCCCCTTGAGTGTGGCTCTTCCACAAAATACCACGGCCTGGGTGAGTCTATCAATATTTTGAAGAAGTGGCGTTAGAAGAAGTTTAAGTTTAAAAAATTTGGCTCTCAAAAGGAATTTCAATCTTTGTACTGTTGATATTTGGCTCTGTTGACTAATGAGTTTGCCGACCATTGACCTAAACCATCACTTCCTCCAAAAGCCTTTATTGATCCCCAACTCAGTGGAGTCTGCTACTTCTGACTCTGCAAACTCTTAAACTGTACCTCTCTGCTGATGCATTAGGTATTTTATTACAGAAGAGTCCCTAGAATGGTGTGCAGAATAGGGACTCAATAAACAACTGCTCCCCTGAAGTAGCCTAACTCCTCCTGTGGATGGGACTGGCCTTGAAGTCTGTGTTTTCTGGAGGCCCCTTCCAGACGGTCCAGAGCACCCCAAAGCCTGAGAGCTGGACCATGCTGGAAATAGAGGTGCCATTCTCCCGCAGAGTGGCTCCCCACCCTCAGAAGCTAATGAGCAGGCCTGGGAGGAGGAGTTTCTAAACAGTGGATGGAAACAGCACAATGAATTATTGTCTTTCTAGTAGGCTCAAGGCTAACAAAGATCCAGTCCCTGCCATCCACTCCCCTGTGATGTAATATTCTCAAATGCTGGAGAGAAGGGCAAACAAATTCCTCCTACATAATGGCGAATAGTCTGTTGCCTCTAAAACCAGGAGCCTGTGTAAAAGGACGAGCTACACGAGAATAAAGTACAGTGGGTCATGTATGTATGAGATCATCGTTCACTCAACACACTGTCTCTGAGCTCCTCCCATGCACTATTCTGGAGAAGAGGGGAAAGTACGATAGTAGTCAATACCACACAGTACTCAGTCTGACCTGGTAACCTTCCTAGAAATTCATTCTAAGGAATAATCCAGAAGAAGAACACAGCAAGACGTTTGCTGCAGTGACATCAACATTAGCAAAAAAGCAGAAAGAGCTATGGCTGGTGTGGCTTAGTGGTCCAGGGCATGTGCAGAAGGCAACTAGTCGATATGCCTTCTCTCACCTCAATGTTTCTATCTCTCCCCCTCTCTCCCTCTCTCTGTAAAGCAATGGAAAAAAAAATCCTCATGTGAGGATTAACAAAACAAAAAAATATATTTTTAAAAAATATATTTTATTGATTTTACACAGAGAGGAATTGAGAGGGACAGAGAGTTAGAAACATCGATGAGAGAGAATCATCGATCAGCTGCCTCTTGCACACCCCCCACTGGGGATGTGCCCGCAACCAAGGTACATGCCCTTGACCGGAATCGAACCTGGGACCTTTCAGTCCGCAGGCTGATGCTCTATCCACTGAGCCAAACCAGTCCCGGCAAAACAAAAACAAAAAATTAAAAAAAAAAACACCAGAAAGCTGGAAGTACCCAAAAATTAGGGAAAAGACAAAGTAAATTATGGAATATCTATTCATAGGAAATATACATTTACCAAGAAAGGAAGGACATGTAAGTATATGATGACCTATTCAGTACCTGATACAGGTCAGATATTGGGATGAATATTTACAGACACTGACCCTTCCATAGTGAGTATGATCTCCACTTTACAATAAAGAAACTGAAGTTCAGAAAGAAGAGTTTTGCCTACGGACACATAGGTCAAGAGAAGAGGTGAACATACTATTGACCACAACTGATGAGGACCTTGCCCTCAGGGAGCTCAGATTCAGGTAGAACTTTAAACAAGTGACCAGGAGTCCTACAGGGGATAGGGCAGGAGAGCCCGGGGATGCTACCCTGGCTGGTGTGGTCAGAAACACCTGAAGATGTAATCGTTAAGCCAAGAACTAATGGGAAAGAAAAGTATTCCAGGCAACAGTATGAAAACAAAGGCAGAGAAATGGGAACAAACTTGGCATGTTCAAGGAATAGCGATGATCAGTATTTCCAAGTTTCTTTGCTAATCTGACAGGCAAAAAACAAATAATAGAAAGTCAACCTTCTTTAATTTTTAAGAATAGGCATATAGATTAATGGAACAGAACAGAGACCCCAGAAATTGACCCACACCATTATGCTCAATTAATATTTGACAAGGGAGGCAAGAACACGCAATGGAGTCAAGACAGTCTCTTCAATAAATGGTATTGGGAAAATTAGACAGATGCATGCAAAAAAATGAAACTTGGCCAACAACTTATATCATACACAAGAATAAACTCAAGCTGAAACCGGTTTGGCTCAGTGGATAGAGCGTCAGCCTGCGGACAGAAGGGTCCCGGGTTCGATTCTGGTCAAGGGCATGTACCTTGGTTGCGGGCACATCCCCAGTAGGGGCATGCAAGAGGCAGCTGATCGATGATGCTCTCTCATCGATGTTTCTAACTCTCTATCTCTCTCCTTTCCTCTCTGTAAAAAATCAATAAAATATATGTTTTTTTAAAAAAGAGAATAAACTCAAAATGATAAAAGACTTAAGCATAAGTTGTGAAACCATAAAAATCCTGGAAGAAACTACAGACTGCAAAATCTCAGACATCTCTTTTAGCAGTATATTTATGGATACATCTCCCAGGGCAAAGGAAACAAAAGAAAAAATAAACAAATGGGACTGCATCAAAATAAAAAGCTTCTGCACAGCAAAAGAAACCATCAACAAAACGAAAAGGGAGCCCACTGTATGGAAGAACGTATTTGGCAATGATACATCTGATAAAGGGTTAATGTCCAAAATATATAAGGAACTCATACAACTTAACAAAAGGAAGACAAACAATCCAATTAAAAAATGGGCAAAGGACCTAAATAGACTTTTATGCAAAGTGGACAAACAGATGGCCAAGAGACATGTGAAAAAATGCTCAAAGTTATGAATCATCAGAGAGATGCAAATTAAAACGAGAGGTATCACCTCACACTTCAGAATGGCTATCATAACAAATCAACAAACGACAAGTGCTGGTGAGGATGTGGAGGAGGGACCCCCTGCACTGCTGGTGAGGATGCAGCCTAGGGCAGCCATTATGGGAAACAGCATGGAGTTTCCTCAAAAAATTAAGTATGGAGCTGCCATCTGACCCAGGGATCCCACTTCTATGAATATATCCTAAGAAACCTGAAAAATGAATCAGAAAGAAGGGATGCCCCCCTATGTTCATAGCAGCACAGTTTACAATAGCTAAGATCTGGAAACAGCCCAAGTGCCCACCAGTAGACGAGTGGATAAACAAGCTGTGGTACATTTACACCATGGAATACTCTGCAGCAGTAAAAAAGAAGAATCTCTCAGCCTTTGAGACAGCATGGAGGAACCTATAGAGTATCATGCTAAACGAAATAAGTCAGTCAAAGTATCACATTATTTCTCTCATATGTGGAATCTAAGTAACAAAATAAACTGATGAACACAGTGAATCTAGAGACATGGAGTCATGGAATGGAGTGTGAAATCTCAGAGAGAAGGCAGGGAGGATGGGTGGGAAGTAACCAAACAAGAATATTGTATGCATATATGCATGTGCCCTGAACAGGAATCGTACCTGAAACCTTTTGGTTCACAGGACAATTCTCAACCATCTGTCCACCCTAGCTGGGCAAAAATTTGAATTTTTATAAAACCAAAATGAATCAAAAGGATAGAAAAACATCTGCAGCAAATAATGGACAAAAGAGCAATTCCAAAACATAACACAAGCCTAGCAGGTGTGGATCAGTGTTGAGCATGGACTCATACACCAGGAGGTTACCAGTTCGAATCCCAGTCAGGGCACACACCTAGGTCAGGTTATGTGTGGGAGGCAACCCATCTATGTTTCTCTCTCATATCAATGCTTCTCTCTCTCCCTTCTACTCTCTAAAATCAATAATTAAGTAAATAAATAAAAAGTAAGATAAATTACAAGCACATAGAAAAATGTTCAGTTCCCTATAAATAAAGAAGTGAAAAATTATAGCAATGCTAAGGTAACTTTTTTCACTGTTTGCAATGTTATGGCAAAATTGGTACAAAAGCATTAGACCCTCTGGAAAAGCTATGGGAAAACACTATTGTAACAATCATAAAGGGTTGGTCCTTTTGCCTTGGAATTTCTTTTCCTGAGACTTTTAAGGAAATAATCTAATAATTTAAAAAAATATAAAACAAAATCTACACAACTATAGGCATTTATCACAGCATTATCTCTACTAATGAAGAACTAGATACAACACAAGTGTACACCAGGGGAATGGTTTGGCAAATTATAGTACAGCTATTTCACTGATTACACTGCACACAAAAATTCATCGCAAAGATGATGCAAAAAGATTAAAACAAATGAAAAAGTTAGTATCTATATCTTGAAAAATATGCATATATGAGCAAGGAGGAAGAACAACATAGAGATGAAAATAGTTGTGTGGTGGAGTAAAACTGGTGAGAATAATGAATGATCATTTTTTTAAAGGGCAACTTGGCAGGTACTACCAAAACGTAGACTATGCATGCCAGAAGTACTACTCCTAAGAATCTGTGCTACATAAACACTATCTTGAGTGTAATAAAATAAAATGGACAAGATTAGTTACAGCAGCATTGACTGAAGTGAAAAACTGTAAACCACCTAAATGTACATATAGCAATAGAATACTATTCAAGAATAAAGTAGTCTTTTTCCTTTGGCCTCGTTGCTACAGAGAGAGCAAGGTGGGTCACCAGCACCTCTACAGGAGCCTTCTGAGGAAATTCGGCCAGGGTCCTCATTCTTGCCACATCTGCTCAAACCACCATGGTCTAACCTGGAAATAAGGCCTCAACATGTGCCACCTGGACATAGGTTTCATTAAGTTGGACTAAGTGAACTTCCATGAATGGGTCATTCAAGACATCTATCTTATGACAAAATGCTCTCTTTGTACACAAAATTAAAAAAAAAAACTTCAAAAAGAAAAAAAGAATATAGATTTATATAAGTGATATAGAAAAGTGTTTATATTTTAAAAATATTTTTATTATTATTTTAGAGAGAGAAAGGGAGAGGGAGAAAAACATCGATGTGAGAGGGTAACATCTATCAGCTGTCATCCGCATGCCTCCTACTAGGGATTGAGCCTGCAACCAAGGCATATGCCCAGACTGGGAATCAAACCAGCAAACTTTCCATGCATAGGACCAGGCTTAACCAACTGGGCTACACTACAAGGGTGACATGGGAAAATGTTTGACATTTTATTATTATTTTTATTTTTTTAAAATATATATTTTATTGATTTTTTACAGAGAGGAAGAGAGCGATAGAGAGTTAGAAACATCGATGAGAGAGAATCATCGATCAGCTGCCTCCTGCACACCCCCCACTGGGGATGTGCCCGCAACCAAGGCAAGTGCTCTTGACCTGACTCAAACCCGGAACCCTTTGGTCCTCAGGCCTACGCTCTTCCCACTGAGCCAAACCGGCTAGGGCTAGGCTTTAAATTTTTAAGTGAGAGTTTTGAACAGTAATAGTCACATGGCTTAACATTTAAAAGGTCTTTTCAATTTTTTTTTTTTTTTTTACAAGTTGGATTAAAAAGATGAAAAACAAACCTATAAAGGCGCAGGGAGCCCAGTTCCAGCCAGCAAGGCAGGGATCCCCGGTGGTCCCCGCCCTTTTCTGACTCAAGCACCAAGTCCCGGCGACGCGAAAGAACCACACGGACAGAAAGGCAGGAGTCAAGTTTCAAGGGTTCAAATCCAACTCCGCCATTTCCTGAGAGAAGGCACTAGGCTTCTCCAGGCTTCAGATTTCTGGTGTGTAAAATGGGGATAATGGTCGTACCTAATTTCACAGAGACTTGGCGAGGAGAAAAACCAAAACAACGTACAGCGCCTGTCATAAACTAAGCTTCCGGGAAACGTTCTCGTTGTTACACTCGCGCGACCAGGCCCAGGACGCTGGGACGCACGGGCCTGCGGTCCGACGCCGTCCGACGCTGGCCGAGGCCCGGCTCCAGCTTCCGGTCTGTGGGACCCGGATCCCCTGGCCACTCCGGAGTCCCCTCCGTCAGGGTCTGGAGGCCCACGCCTCTAGCGTTCCGCCCTCCAGCCAGCTAGTGCCCAAACCCCCCGATTTCCTGCCCGGCGCTCTGGGGCGCCCCCGGAGGGTCTAAAACCAGGCGCCAGGAGCGGGGCGGCCTCGCTCGGCCACCTTCCGGCCGCCAGCCGCCGGTCGGCAGGAACACTCACCATCTCGGAACGATCAGGTAGCTCCGCGTCCTCAGCGCTGCCCAGCCCGGTGCGTTTCCGCGCCTGCGCAGAGCACCAAGTCAAAACTGACAGCTCTAGGGACCAATCAGGAGCCGGCGTGAGGGGGCGGGCAGCTCTCTGATGTCCCGGGGCTCGTGGGAATTGGCCCTGCGCCACCGGAGAGTGAAAAGCGGAGGAGCGCTGCAGCACGGAGAGTTCCTACTCCCGCGGTGCCCTAGAGATGCCAGTTTGCATTGTCGGAAGAGGCTTCCAACTCTCATCCGAGGGCTGAGCTGGCTCGGAAAGCCCCGAGTGGAGGGTGGTGGGTGATGATGAAGGCGAGGAAGGAAGTAGCTGAGACGCTCCCCATCCTCTCTTGGTCATATTGAGGCAGAGTGAGGCGAGGAGCCCACATGCGCCGAAGATGCTGGAAAGCCGGCGTTGGGAGTGGAGTCAAGCGTCTCTGGGTTCTCCAGCGCGACCCCATTGGGAATGTTACGTGCAGGCTCTGATATGAAGTGGTTAGGGCTAGCCTGGGAGTCAGCCGACTTAGGACTCCGAGCTCAGCCCCAATCATGTGACCTTGAAGAAACCACTTCACACCTATGCTCGCTACCTCCCTCCTTTTTGCACCTTTAAAAGGTCCCCGCCCCCCCATGCTGAAACCGGTTTGGCTCAGTGGATGGAGCTGCGGACTGAAGGGTCCTGGGTTCCATTTCGGTCAGGAGCATGTACCTTGGTTGTGGGCACATCCCCAGTGAGGGTTGTGCAGGAGGCAGCTGATCGATCTTTCTAACTCTATCCCTCTCTCTTCCTCTCTGTAAAAATAAATAAATAAATAAATAAATAAATAAGAAAATCAATGATATATTTTAAAAAACAAACAAAAAAAACAAAGCCCTATGTTATCCCTTTTTTCACTCTTGGGCTATCTACTCTCAAAGACCACAAACTGGATTTTCTAGCAGGCAATTGCCATTTAGTGAACCTTGTGCCCCGTTACTGGCCCGTGCTATCTCCAGTAGCTCAGCATCCCTTTTTACAAATGCTTTTTTCTTGAGGCACTGGAGCTTGCTAAATTCAACACAGATGATCTAATTCCAATTTTTTTTATTCTACTTTAGCCTCTCTTAACTGGGGAGGGATTTGGTGCTCCTTCCAAGGGTGTTTGTATTTACAATTAAAAGGATTGGATAGTGACCACAGTAAGGCAACCTGGCAGACACCAACTGAGGATTATGGTTAACATTACTGGTGATGAGATATAGATTGATGTGTGCCCCGTTATCAGGCACTAAGGGCACTTCATTTCTGTAGTGTTTTTCACAAAAATCTATGACCTTAACTATGAAAACATTAAACCAAATTTGAGGGACATCATATAAAAAATCCGACAGCACTCTTCAAAAAATGTCAAGGTCATGAAAGACAAGAATGAGGAAGTCACAGGTTAGAGGATTCTGAGAAAAATGTCATTGGTGGAAAAAGTGGTGAAATCTGATTAAGGCTATAGTTTAGTGTCAAGTCATTAGTTTTGATAACTGTTCCAAGTTATACAGGATGTTAGCATTCGGTAAAGCTGTGTAAAGTGTGTGCAGGAGCTGAAACTGGTTTGGCTCAGTGGATAGAGCGTCAACCTGCGGACTGGAAGGTCCCAGGTTTGATTCCGGTCAAGGGCATGTACCTTGGTTGCGGGCACATCCCTGGTAGGGGTTGTGCAGGAGGCAGCTGGTCGATGTTTCTAGCTCTCTATCCTTCTCCCTTCCTCTCTGTAAAAAATCAGTAAAATATATTTTTTAAAAACTAATAAAGTGTGTGCAGGAACTCTGTACTACGTGCAACAGCTCTGTTCTCTAAGGGCTGCAAACTGGACCTCAAAACATCCCAGAAAATAAAGCACACAAGGGTTCGTCACCATCTTACATATATGGAGAACCTGGCTCAGGGGTGAAAGGATCTAGGGAGATCACAATCACAGAAGCAAAACAAACTGGCCAATTCACAGGCCTGGAGCCAGAATGAGAGGGAAGGAGGAGTTAAGAGATAGTTGCTGACTCTGAGTGGAGTATTGGAGTTTATTCTGTGGTAGTGGGGGAATCACTAAGATTTTAAGCACAGAAGAAGCATGAGACTGAGTCTCCCCCAGACCATTCTTAGGCAGCACAGAGGGACTGGGGGAGAGAGAATGGAAGCGATGAGAGGTTGCTACACTGAACCAGGGTAGGAGTAAGGATGTGGGCTGTGGCAATGGAGGCAGCTCTTAGAGAAATGATCCAAGTTTTGGAGGCTGACCTGGTAGGATTTGGAAACCAATTAGATGGAACAACTGAATGAGTTATAGAAGACTCCAGGAATTGCAGTTTGTGAGTAGCTATACAACAAAAACATTTAATCATGCAATCTTTGGAATTAGGTCTGGATTTTTTTGCCCTCTTGCCACTTAATAACTGTGGACACTTCAAGTTAATGACTTTAAGTATTCTCTTATCTGTAAAACATAGGTGATTATCCCTGAGAATGATTAGGATGACTAAATGGCTGCATGCAGCAAGCATATCTATGTTTGGGACCTAGAAATAAGTGTTGACAGTTGTCCTGAGACTAAGTGAATAGAGGCATAGTATTGATTTAGCAGGGAAGACAAATAAAAAGCAGGTCTGAATCAGAAATGAAGAAAAATAACAGTATGGTTGTTTTCAGTGATCTACAGGTATGACTGCAAACTCCCCACATCCTTACCTGTGGGATGCCTCGAGGAAATCCTCTTGCCCACAGCATCTTTGCTTAATGGGAACCTGTTCCTAAGAGACTAACACTGTCTGAGATCTCTACTGAAGATCCTCCTCTCCTTGCCAACCACAGAAATTCCTTTGAATCCCACCCCCAAATATCCTGTCCACAAAGAAGCCCTAAAGACACATAGGAATTGACAAGTGAAATGGGTTAGGAGTGACAGCAGTATCTGTTCTGGTGTTATACAATCCGACACTTCCTAAAAGTTAGGAAAATAGCCAGTCAACATAGCTGAGTCCCAGACTGATTCTTTGTAAGATTTAGGGCTGGTGATCCAATGGTCAATAAGAGCAATTATTTCCCCAAAGAAGATTTCCTCATGCTGTGGAGGACACCTCTTCTCCTTTTTAAAAAGAAATCTATCTTATTGATTTTTTTACAGAGAGGGAGAGGGATAGTTAGAAACATCGATGAAAATCATCTGCTGCCTCCTGCACACCTCCCACTGGGAATGTGCCCGCAACCCAGATACATGCCCTTAACTGAAATTGAACCTGGGACTCGAGTCTGCAGGCATTATCCACTGAGCCAAACCGGTTTCGGCACCTCTTCTCCTTTTTTATTAGTCACACTGAAGCTAGAGTTTTCTAGCTGCTTATATTGGGCAGATTAAACAGGAGAGTGTGTCCTCAGAACCTGCCATTTCTGTCCTCCAGTCAGATCAACATATTCAGAAATTCCACATCCTTACCTGTAGGATGCCTTGAGGAAACTCTTGCCTTAGCCTCTCCCCTGGTTCTATTTTTATTTTTATAGTTTTAGTCTGCACGGAGGATGTTTTTACTAATTTTAGAGGGAGAGAAACATTGCTTTGAGGAAGAAACGTTGAATGGCTGCCTCCTGCATGCACCCGCACTGGAGATTGAACCCGGGACAATGCTCCAACCAACCGATTCTATTTTAAGCAAGAGGTTGATCATCTCGTTTCCCCCATAAGAAAAGGTCTATTGAAGCTAATGAGCAGGACAGCTTTTTGAGAACAGTTTCTAAAAAAATATATTTTTATTCATTCAGAGAGGAAGGGAGATATAGAAACACCAATGATGAGAATCATCCACTGGCTGCCTCCTTCATACCTTCTACGGGGTATGTGCCCTGACAGGGAATCAATGAGAAGCAAACTGTGACTTCCTGGTTTATAAGTCGACGCTCACCCACTGAACCACACTGGCTAATCAAAGAACAGCCAGTCTTGATAACTAGCAGGTGTTTCTCTACTTAGCACCATGGCTGGGGTCCCGACTTAAATTTTCATCTTGGTTGTCTTCACAATAGGTACCAAATCCACTATCACCTCAGTGGTCTTTATAGTTTCATGTTTTTTTTCCTACCTACTCCACAGGACAGACAGGCTGTAAGAGGGCCACTTACAAAAACAGTCAGAAATCTGTAAGATCTGGTCTTACATGCAGGTAGGGAGAACCTTCTTGCTCAAGACTAACAGAAAAATGTGCGAGTTAAAGACCAAAAATCTTTAATTATAAAGTTACATCTTTTAAGGAAATGCAAGTGAGGCAGCCCCCTGAAGGGCCTTTATTAAGAGCACTTGACTCCCTGTGATATTTGTAGAGTTACCTGAGTATTTGAAATTACAGTTCAGGAAAAAAAAAAAAGGAATGCCAATACAGTTATATACAATCCAGTGGTGCTTTTCATTTTTAGTTAATGAAAGCATAGCATATATACAAATAATTTTGTGAATAACCCTAAAAGGAAAACAAAAACAAAAAAAAGAGGGGCTGGAGATACCAACAATATTTAACAGAAGTAGTTAACCTTAGAAGTCTTGAAGGATGGAGTTACATCCAAACCAATGAAGGATATACATATAGTGAAGTCCAATTCCACGAGGCAATAAAAAGGGGCAGAGTGGGCTTGACTGAAATAGCTTATTTAGCATGAGCCCTTGGTGGGGAGGCGAGTCATATTTCACTTAAATTTCTGACTTGACATTAGTATGTCAATCTTGGTGAAAAATGAGTACCTCAATCTTAAATAGAGTTATTGTAAGTCTTATAAAATTAGATTCTTCTGCACGATATGAGATCATAAAGACAGAGTAGGAATTCATTACTATGAGTGGCTAGATCAGTTTTAAAGTACTCTATTTTATTAAACAAGTGAGGTCCTTCCCTACTGCCTAGGCTGTGAAATGCTGCTTCCCCCAACCTCCCAAAAGAGCAGAAGAATAAGGCAATTTGCTCATTTTA